CAATAAACGCTACAACAAAATGCTATAACCTAACGAAAATAGCCCCAACCAGTAAGAATACCAATAAAATAACCGAAAACGATAAACCGCGTCCGGTGTAGCGCAGTCACACGATAGAAGAGAAACATTTGTAAATGTTTGTTAGTATTGCAATGACAGTGACGAAGCATGCAACCAGTATTTTCCAGTAATCATTTGTTCAGTGCTATAAATTAAGGTGAGATGGGTACGTCGTTGTCTCTAACCTTTGCTGTTAACTCACCGGCTCTCTTTCTCTCCCCTCCTTGACATGCTAAACAGTTTTGTTATCCTGGCCGATGTACAGTCACACGCGCTGTCGGATACCAAAGTTACCATTCTCCCACCTTGCAGTCTACAACACCTCCAAACTCTTCTTGCACAGTCCTTGGATCATCCCTTTCCAGGTCTGCATTCCGCACTTCCTTACTGCTCACTGGCGTTTGCTCTTCGTCCTGTTTCAAGTCCCAGTACCGTGCTGTCGACTCGCTCGGTGACCTCATCCGGTTTCGATTTGTGTGGCGCGGTCAACAAGCCTCGGATACGTGCGATTGCTGGCCCTATGCCTCGCAGTGATGTGAGCTCTATTAATATTTTGATGTTGCTCGTTACGATACAGTTTTTGCTGCTGTTGCCAATGCTTATTACTCAATCCAGTGTAGTTTTCATGTAGCCGGTACTCTGCACTGTAAAGCAGTACACTGTGACATGACGATCATGAACCGCCGCTAAATGCGGCCACTGCTCCTTTATTGTTCCTCCCGCTTTACATCGTCATCCGGAAGAGGTGTACAAACCACTCATTAGGTCACCGGTTGATCTGGAATAAAAATACCACTTTGTAAGCCGCACTTGGGTGTAAAAGCTTGAAAGTCAACCTCCCACTAAAAGGGCAGTTGGGGTCCAATCTGGACCAAGCCGCTGAGGAGTGGAACACATGCAAACAACGTTCTAAGACACGACCTCGTATCCTATCCCCGTGAGTCCCTGAGGTTACCTAGAACATTCTGTAACACGATATCCGCGGAGCCGACTCGTATTCCACTGAGGAATCAGTTAATCATCTAATTAGGTTGGGAATTTTAATGTTAATGAGTTTTTCTGCAAAAGTAGGTTTCTACTCTGAAGTGTCACGAAAGGCGCTTTGCAATAGGCTCTGTACAAACGCCGGATACAATTGCCGACATCAAATTCGCTAGCATTTCTGATATCCTATTGTGAATTATAACCTTAAAACTGTAACTATAAATTTTACATAATCAGCGAAGGCCTAATTTCTGTCTCTCTACCGTAGACCTATTTAACATCCCATCCTTCATAAACTAATCAGAATCAATCGACAAATTTTTCCGTTGATCCATGATCATGTGTTAATATCAACCAATCGATACTTCCGATAAAAACAGTCGCCCTTGCTGATAGTTCATTCCCTAGTCTGCTGGTTGTATTCAGTCAATTGAACCTGATGCATTTCTCCCTCTCCTCGGTTCCCTTTCTTCCTCACAAAAACCAGGCTGATTCGTTTCGTTCCAAATGGCTGCGAGCAAGCAGTACCATCAAACATGGCGCATTCGCCTCCATCCGACTGACGGATCCAGAGAAGGGCTATGAGCGACAGGGTCGGTAAGTTGTGACATGAACAGCTTCAACATATAGGAACTGAGCAAAACGTCTCCAGATACATAACAAGTTTTGTTTTTTTACACAAAAATAAGCATTCTGCAAGTATTCTCCACCAGCGTTCATGCGCTCAAATCATTTGATGAACCAGCTGGACTATGCCGAAGCGGATAACCCTTCGATCAGTTCACTGAGGACCTCCAGCACAGCTGTTGGTGACTCGTATCGGATTCCACGCATCATACTCTTGACATTCGGGAACAGAAAAGAAGTCACATGTAGCCAAATGTGGACTGTAGAATGGGTGATCAGCCTTCTGGATGAGTTCTCAAACCAGAAAATCGCCTTCGACATGGCTTGTGTGCAGGTGTGTTGTCATGGTGCAGCAAGGCGCCTCGTGCTCGAGTCCTTAGACGACGCCTGAGAACAACTTTCGGCAGACAGTGAGCGGTGTATCAGTCTCCGGTGACTGCTTTGTTGTACGAGCGGTACATTAGCCACATGAACGGTTTTGGGCATAACACAGCAACCATCTGCTTTACCACGCTGCGCTCGTTTCGGAATTTCTGAGGGGGCATCCACTGAGTTCGTTGTTGATCTGGGTCGATGGCTTTCTGCAACTGTGCCACTGAGCATCCTCCACCGCCATCGCTTACTCAGCAACAACATTGTCCATTATGATGGTCTCCACAAGTGGACCGCCTTCCACGCTTGAATTCCGACAACCATTCAAACACAGTGCTTCTCGAAGGTGCGTCATCATCAAAGACAGCTCCTAAACTATTAACACTTAACTAGCGCTACCGTAAACCACACATTCACAATAAATTACAGTTCGCGTTTCGTTGCCCGGTCATATGCACCTCATAGGTGTACTGCGTATTCGGAAACTTTTTGCTCAGCTGTTGTTATTCCTGGTTTGCGCAGTCAATAAACTCGCCCTTTCCTGCCATCGTTTTGGTTGTTGTTTTTCGGTCACCCACTCAGTAGACGAAGTTTGGGGGGGGGGGGGTTGAAGAAGATTTCAAACTAAGACCGTTGTCAAAATTCTAAAAAATCAGGTTAGCTGCATGCACGGACACCACTGTTTTAGGACACTCAGTCATATCATCCAGCTTCTCTAAAAGCTGATTAGGTTGACCACGAGGATTTCCGATGATCGAGGTTATCACACCTTAACCTTCTGCCACTGGCCTCTATAAAAATCTCTAGTGGGGTTATCTGTTGACGTGTGTAACACCTCCCGCAACCATCTCAGTTCATCGAGGCCAAAAACTTACTTCACTTAGAGACCATAATTAACTGGCACCGCATCTAATCTCTATATTACTTGTCCAGATTCGGGCATTGCGGCGTAGACACCTGTGTTCGAACAGTGATGGTCTGTATTCATCCTTCCGTAACGACCATTTCTATGCACTATGCAGGTCGAACAGTTGCTGTGTGCCTTTTCTCTGCTTCTTTTCATAAACTACACGATTTTATCTTCTCCGCTTTCATTACGCAGTTTTTCTACGAGTAGTTTATAGCTCATGCACTAGGCTCTGTTCCATCGTGAAAGTTTGGATATCATGGGGTGGAACGGATAGGAATCTACCACCGAATCAGTCAACGCGAACCGACCGATACCAACTATGCGTTCGTTGTGGTGAGCGTTGAAATGGTAGCACAAGATCAAGGGTTTCGGTCCCCAACTCCATGGTCAATGATGTAGATCCGGGGATGAAGGAACAAAAACGAAATCTCTGATACCCAGTTCCAACCGGAGCGTTGATGCAACTTGACAATCACGATCCTTTAACATGGTCGGGATTGAAGTATATAGTGTCGTTGCGAGTAGGGATATTTCTATCACTGACCAATGCGATCTAACGCATATTCGTCCATCAACAGCGTTTTTTCACATTGGATGTTTGTTCGGTTCGCTTAGGAAATTATGATCACAATCGACACATAGGCTGGCATTTCTGTACAACTGGATAGGCTGTTGTCAGTCTCATTCAATCCAACATCCCGCCGAATGTGTAATGTAGTTTAATGTTACCCAACAGCCGACATTTTGCACATAATCATCATCGTACAACGGACCTCACTGATCCTCAGATAATTTCCACCATCTGAGGCTTCCTTACCCGCGTGTCACACCACTCGGTTTTGATGCAATAACCCAGACTAAACTAGCTCATGACATACGCTATACTCAACCCTTATTCTATCTCACAGAAATGAGAATGAAATCATCCTTATCGATATTATTCTCATTACCAATAAGAGGTCTAGACGCATTTATTCTGTCGAAGATGGATACTTACTTTGAACGATTTTCTTCTTTACGTCTTGTATTCTTTGATTCAGATACTTTTCAAAACTTTTCGGTACACAATGGCTTGAGTACTGGGAGTTCCTGGATGATTTTGCAGACCTGTCCTCCGAATCCGGTCTGGAATTGTTGGAGCAATATCTAAATTCGGACAACGCCAAACTTCGCCTTCCTTCAGTGACCACCCCTAACGGGCAAAAGAACGCGTCTACAGACCGGTCCAAACGACGTAGGTCAACCGTCAACAACTCCCATCCTGCTACACCCACCGGCACGATTTCTATGTTTGCCCAGCTAGATGAAGCTAACACTGTCCCACCCACTCCGGTTTCACGCGCAAAATGCTCTGTACAATCGGTGAATCGAATAGCGCCTGATCCATGGCGCGAGCATCGATCAGTTGAAACAAATTTACTCAACGACAGTCTGGACGAGAGCAGTGACAATTCGGAACTTCAAAATTCACTTCAAGAGTAAGTTTTCATACAAAGTAGCGACGTGAATTAAAATCCTATCACTTCATGGCTTTGTGTGTAAATGAATTTACACTAGAGACTCCAAACGAATTTCCTCCGCGTCGGTTCATTCCTTACGCGTTCCGCCAAACTGTAGCTGATGTGAATCCAAACACCATCAGTGGTGCACCTGGTGTGGGACTAGTCCTTAAACGTTCCACCCTGCGTGAACTGACATTCGTTTTAGTATCTGTTCCCTACTACTTTTTGCTGACTGATTGTTCCCCAATCGTCTGTCTGATACTGCGGTGGCTTACGGCTCGGTGGTCTCTATATGGTGCGTGTTGTCCTTCATTTTCAACTCCTGTCGTCACATGGGTACGAAAAACTAGCAACAGTAGTACAATGCATGGTTCAAACCGTTTCAGATTCACTTTTTGCTACCATCAGCCATACATTTTCATTGGCCTGGTTCGGTTGCTGTCTTTTGACTGCCCATTTGGATCAAAGAGAGCAATGAACACTTGAATGTTGAAAGCAGAGTCAAACAGAAAATAGTGAATTCATGTAGGCTGAGGTTCCAGGAATATTGAGCAAATGCACGAGTGATACTCGACCATATCACTCAGTGTCTGTAACCACTGGTTACCATGATCTCTTTGTCCCCATCCAGGATACCTAATGGAACCTATGTGACCCAGTCTTCTGGTTAGGGTTTTCATACCCTCATACCAGGTCTTCGTTTGATTGCCCCTGACCTTCAACCCACTACCTGCCTCAGCAAGCATCCCGCGCCCTGACAACTTATTTGGTGACATGTGCAATACATGTCCCAATCACCGCAGTGTACGGAGATTCTTCAATTGTTTCAGTGGACGACTGCGATTACCTGAACCTCTACTTCTGACCTCAGCATTGCTTGTCCGGTTTCCCCCACCAGACTCGTGCAATGCGGCATAAACAGCGGTGTTCGAACACCGATAATCTGTTTTTATCTTGTTTCGGTAATGGTCAAGTATCTGCACCGTAGATCAGGACTGGCTGAACTGCTTCAGCATACACTCGATCCTTCACAGACAGCAGGGTGTCACGACAACGGCACAGGTGTCTCAAGTTGGCAAATGCCAATCGAGCCTTTTGTATGCGCGCCGACACTTCATCTGTGACGCGTCCTCCAGGTGAGATGTAGCTGCCCAAATAGCGAAATTTTTCTACTTCCTTAGTTGGAGTAAGGNACGGTAAGATCCCTTGCAATCGGTTGCTTTTTTATTGCCCCATGTGTGATGAACAGACGGAGTTAGCCTCATTGTAGCGTAGACCTGTTCAGTCATGGTAAACGGTCACCTAAGCAACAAGCTTTGGAGTGACGAACCGCTGGGTCAAGTGTTGTACTAAGGCGGGTGACAACGACTCTGCCCATCGCTGAAATTGGGCTGTGGACTCTAGGGCCCAAAGCACACCAGCGACAGTGTCTGAAAACCATTTGGCCACCACCACCGCCAAACTGATAATCAGTATAGTGTTTCCGAACTGTGCCATTCATTTAGATAGATGTGCTCAGAGTTCCTTGACAACTTGCGTGGTATACTTTGAAAGTGTTCCGATTAATCCCAGTTCGTAGAAAGATCGAATGATGTATCGTAGCTGTTCATAATCTGAGCATATTCACTTATTATTTTCAACTGCTTTCACTACTTGTTACTCTTGTTCATGCAAATACATCATCTTTTTTATTGTCTGTGCAACTTCATCTAACTGTTTTTCCTTTTATCCAAAGTAAAAAAATATTTCCGGGTTTAAACACTTTCTTTAATAACTTTACCCAGAGCCTTCGAGTCAATAGCCTGACCCTACGACACTGAAGTGTAAATTCAACTCAGGGGCATGGTTGAAGTATCTGTGTGTGGGCTTCTGGAGACCTGTCACGCAAAGCCTATGGGTTTGTTTTCATTGTTGTTCGTTGGCATATTGATCTTCGGTCCGCTGTTCGGGATCTGCCTGTGATCTCATGAACCCGATGAGACAAGCGGATCGTAAACGAGTGAGCCCGTCACTGTCTAGGGCTGTCCAGCTTTGGCAGGCTGCAGCTGCCCATTGAAGTGCAGACTTCTCCTACCATCTGGAAGAAGGCCCTGTTACTCTGCTCCTACGTCCATCTAGCGGGGTTTTCTTAGTGGTAATTGCACCTACCCGTGTTTTTTGCCGCTATGACCTCCTCAGGGGCAACAGTGTATAGTCAGCAGGAGGCAGTAGGCGCGCAATCAGTTGGCCTTGTGAAGCTGAGCTTTGTCTGACCTTTAACCACTAACCTTTCAAGTATGATTAGATCTGCTTTGGGAAGTCATCCTGTATGTCAAGCTGCACTCTTGTCAGGGTAGTTCTGGTGCATAAGCATGCAGTCTCCCTCTGATCTGTACACTCGAGTATGTATCTATGCTCTGACTAGAACGCAGTCAGCAGTGGGGGTTTTCGGGAACATCGTAGTGAACGCAGTTGACATAATCAGTTGATACTGGGCGGGAGTGACCGTTGGTTCAAGACACCAAACAGCCCCGACCTAAAGCCTTCCCGTCGCTCTCTTTGCATTAGAATTCAAACAGTCAATTTCACCCCAACCCATGATTGTTTCCATACCGATGCCAGTCAGCCGCACTTATGTTTTATGTTCTTGATTCAGAAAAGTGTCGAATGTCATTAGAACTTTGATCCTTCTGTATTTCTTACGCTTTTCTTTTCCAGACCCGACTCAACTCCAGAATTGATCGATATATCTGCTACTCCGCGTCGGCATTCCTTCAGTCCACTCAGACCTATTGTGGGCTTGTTGGAAAAACTAACATTTCGAAGTCCGCTACGTTGGCTACTGGTTGATCGTCTCGGTTGTGGCGAACCATTGTTTGCTATAAAAAATCCCACTACCTCTTTCCTAAATGAATCCTTCTCTGAAGCTAAATCTAACGGTACGTCGAGCTCTAAGAAATCCCGCCCCAAACGCCGAATGTCTGCGGCCAATTTGGGTCATCCAATTTGTGATCCAGAACAACCGGCCGCCAAGAAGCCATCACCGGTCAAGTCCGCCTTAGTCGAATCTGAACCTACACCTCCTAAACTACCTCTGCCTACACTGTTCCGTCATGTATGTCGTGCACTCCCTGGCGGTGACCCGGAACTGGAAACTGCCGTAGCCGTAATGGCTTGTGTGGGGAAAGAGACGAAGGGAAGCAGTAGCTCACCAAACACAGATTGTCTGGCCCCACGCTGGTTCCGATCAATCAGTCTGTCGAAATATCATACCGTATCCAGTTGGAAACGATATGTAGAGGAATGTGACACGCATTTATCTCACCCAACTAACTGATCACTGGTCTGGGAAACGTTTTACTTTAATTCGATATATCTTTGTACTTTCTGATCGATTATCTTTCTTGCGCGTTTGATCGTCCATTCATATCCATTGTGTACTTATTTTTAGCCGGCTTCTATTCCTTTGCTCAGCGTCCTCCGATCACAAAGCACCATCCAGATGAGATTGCACACAATTGTTTTCTTGAGAAATGTAGATTTGTTACTACTATTATCATTACTACTACTAAAAAAATCCATGAGTTAT